GCCCCTCGTCTGCTGGGCAAGTTCTTGAGGAGGGACGATGTCGTTCTTCAGATTACAGAGGTAATCTGTGAGGTTTGTGTATTGTGTTTCCTAGTTCTGCTTCTTTGTCTAGAAAGTGCGAGAAAGTGCGAGAAAATGGAAATAAAAAGTTGTATTCTTGAGTTATTTTGGTTTTGGGTATACAAAAACGAAAATAGTCAGAAAAGGTGAAAGATTCCTCCTTTTTTTCTTCTTTTAGTTTATTAAATCCTCAATATTTGTGTATTTTGTGAAATTCACAATTATTGTTTCACTTCTTTCTTATTTTCAGAAGAGAATTTGTAGGTTCTAATTCTTGTTTTGATTTTCCTTTCACTTTTAATGATGTTTTCTACTTCAAAATGTTGGCAGGTAGAAGCTTATAGACCAAATGATTCAGCTTGTCACGGCCGATTTGGACTCACTGCAAGAACAGCTCCTGTTGTAAGTTACTAGTATTGGGGGTTTTCGCCTCTTACAGTGCACTTGCTTATGCAATTTTTTACTGAATAAGTAGCTTGAAACTTGAAAGTATTAAGCCTTCTGTGTATATTTTGTCTTTGTGTCATAATGGTTCTAGTTTGGACCTGGAGGGCATGCATATGTGTATCTTTGCTATGGTCTGCATACAATGCTCAATGTTGTTGCTGACAAGGAGGGACTTGGGGCTGCAGTTTTAATACGTTCATGTTCTCCTGTTTCTGGTAATTATTCATACCATTACCTGACTAGCAAACTTCAGATCAGCTAATTTGCTCTTAGTTAATTTTCCAGCTTCATTTTTCATTATCTAACCTGCTCTGCCTTGTTGCAGTGTGGACTTAGCTGTTTGAGTGAGTGTAGCTAAAGATTAACATACTACTATACTACTATTTGTCCTAATATATTTCTTAATGGTTTTGCTACCCATTCTTTTGTGCAATTCCCAAGCTATGCTGCATACTTTTGTAGAATTGATTAAAGCAGATAGCTTAGACCTTTGGAAACTAGTACTCAGTGGTGAATTGTGTGGTGTTCAATAAAACATGGTAGTGAACTGTATGGAAGGAGATTTAAAGGCTTGATGTAGTTTGGTGATGATGGCGACAAAAAGGAACTTAAAAAAGAATAATCCTTCTTACATGATTACATCTGTTTCTAGTCTCCATCTTTCATTACAGAATGAATATCTAATCTGTATACCTAATCTATATATTGCTATCTATTGTTTATTCAAGGAAGCATGTGTATTCTTGCTATCTATTAAAACGTATTTTTTGCTGAATTATGTTGACTCTGTTGTAGGATTGGAGACCATCCAGAAGCGTCGTGGTCAGCAAACTGACAAACCTATTCTTCTTACTGGACCTGGAAAGGTCAGAGACTTGGAATCAACTATCTAATTCCCTATCTCTTTTACTTAATGATGATTGTCCACATCCATAACACTTCCTCAGTATCATCTATCCTATATCTTTAGAGGACAATTTAATTTTAATTAGAATTTAGGATGTGAATGTGATATTATAAAGGAGATGAGCAACCATTGATAAAGAAGAATATTGAAGTATTTTATTTGCATTGAGCAATCATTGTAACATCATACCATCCATAAAATACTCATATTCAGGGAAATGTCTGCAGTTTAGTACATTTCTGAGTGATACATAATTGCTTATATGTTCAGATTGTTCCATTATAGCGCTATCATATTTCCTCAGATTATGTTGGTTTGTTTGCTAATTAATCTACTAGTGCTTGTATATCTATATTCAGGTTGGTCAAGCATTAGGTCTTTCAACAGAATGGTCGAACCATCCCCTCTTTACTCCTGGTAAGCTACGTGTGGTGTGTTTCAATCTATGTGATTCAAATTTTCAATTTGCCAATGGAATCTCAGTTGTTCTTTGACACATACTAAATTGATATGGTCAGGTGGTTTGGAACTATTGGATGGGCCAGAGCCTGAGAAGATTTTGATTGGTCCACGTGTTGGCATTGATTATGCTTTGCCTGAGCACGTCAATGCCTTGTGGAGATTTGCCATTGCCGGAACCCCTTGGATAAGTGCTCCTAAGAACACTCTCAGGCCTCCCCAATCTTAAATTCTAGGCAGGAAGGAGTTCCAAAATTCCTGTGGGGCTGAGAAGAAATTGTATGGAGGGGTTAAGTTTTGAAAATCAAGTTAAGGTTTTTGCTCAAAAAGAAAAAAGAAAAAGGTTACTCTCTTCCATCTAATCCTTATTGTATTTGCAAATTATACAATGTGTAAATTGTAAAGAGCATTAGAGCAGTTGAAATTAAATTAAGCTGTCTTAACTTCTTCATTGTGCCAATTAAGTCATTAATTTCCATTATAATTTAGAGTACCATATAAAACTGAGTATTTTATATGGAAAGATAATCAGGCCAAAATAAATTTGAAAATAAATTAATATTAGACAACTTGAGTGATCCAACGGTGAGGTGGCATTTAGGTTCAAACTGGGGTATCTATGTTTTATGGGAAGAGAGAAGGTAGCCTTATTGTCTCTACTTTCAACTACGACCGGCTATCTTGAGTTAATTAATGTTTAATTAGATCAGTCTATATCATTCAAAAAAATAAAAATAAAAATAATTAATGCTTAGAAAACAGTTCTAAACGTAATCAAAATCGGAAATGGAGCGCAACGTTATAAACCTAATCGAACTTTTAACTGAGTTCAGCACTATAAATAAAAAGATGTCCAACAATTCTCACTGCATTCAAATTTTTAGGTTTCATACACATTGCTTCAGCGGTAAATATGGAAGAAAAGAACACCCATGACCGGACGAGGGAGAGGAAGTTGCAAGAACAGGAGGGATCGAGCAAGAGAACAAGAAAGAATCATGATTCTGATGACGAGGGTTCCAGGAAAAGAACAAGAAGCAATCACTATTCCGATGCGGCAGGGTCGACAAGGGGAACCAGAAAGAATCATGACTCTGATGCGGTGAGGTCGAGGTATGGAACCAGAAAGAATCATTATCATCATCATGACTATGATGCAGACGGTTCGACAAAGAGAACAGGTAAGAATCATCATGACGAGTGGTCGACGAAGGGAAAAAGAAAGAATCATGACTCTGATGCGGAGGCGTCGATGAAGGAAACCAGAAAGAATTATCATTACTATGATGCGAAGAGTTCGACGGGGAGAACAAGAAGGAATCATCATGACTACGATGCCGAGGGGTCGAGGAAGGAAACTGGAAAGAATTATCATTACTATGATGCAGAGAGTTCGACGAGGAGAACGAGAAGGAATAATCATGACTACGATGCCGAGGGATCGAGGAAGGAAACTGGAAAGAATCATGACTATGATGCAGAGAGTTCGATGAGGAGAACAAGAAGGAATCATCGTGACTATGATGTCGAAGGGTCGACGAAGGAAACTGGAAAGAATTATCATGACTATGATGCCGAGGGGTCGAGGAAGGGAACCAGAAAGAGTCGTCATGCCCATGATGCTAGGAGGGTTCAATGGAGAGAACAAGAAAGAATCATGAATACTCTGATCCGAATGGGCGGACGAAGGGAACTGGAAAGAATCAAGACTCTGACGCAGCAGAGTCGACGAAGGGAACCATAAAGAATCAGGACTCTGATGTGAGCATCAGTCGAACGTCAGACGACCGTTCCAACCAGAGGCAAGATGATCATGTTGGTGGCGGCCGTGCTTATTATGACCGAGAACAGAGGTATGATTCCTTCAAGCGTGTTTACTATTGTTACCCACTATCCTTTGTTGAAGACATAGCCGACATGGGAACTGGGAACAAAATCATTATGCCAGAGGCGGCACTAATGCCACTTATGGAAACCCGGATCACCATGCCAATGCTATTTGAGATACAGAACAACTCAACGGGGAAGGTTTCACATTGTGGGGTTTTGCAGTTCACTGGAATGGAAGCGGAAGCTATCTTCTTGCCGGAGTGGATGATGAAGAACTTGGAATTGGAATTGGGGGATTCTGTTACTTTGAGGAATAAGAGCTTGGAGAAGGGGAAGAAAATCAAGCTGCAGCCGCACACCATGGATTTCTTGGCAATCAAGGATCCAAAAGCTGCACTGGAAAGCAATCTTCAGAACTTCTGCTGCCTAACGGCAGGGGATACCATCATGATCACTCATGAATGCAAGAGTTTTTACATTAATGTGCTAGAAACAGAGCCAGGTTATGCTATTTGCATCACTGATACAGATTGTGAGGTCGACTTTGCTCCTCCTCTGGACTACAAAGAGCCTGAAAAAAGTCCTGTCAAGAAGGAACTAGCGACGACTGAGCAGCCAAAGTTTCAACCCTTCAAAAGACAGTTGCAAGGAGAACCTTCCACACAGGGTGTGGAAGAGAAGGAAAAGCAGAAATTCGTATCCTTCATGGGTAAGTCAAATCGCTTGGGAGGGGGAGCTTGGAAGCAAGAGGAGTGGAATACGCATCCAAAGTTTGAGGGTTTGGATGAGGAGTCCTCCACAGTGTGGCCGGAAGAGCAAGAGAAGCAAACTAAGCAAGTCAAATTCATTCCTTTTACAGGTTCGTCAAGGCGCTTGGATGGGGAGTCAGTTTCTGCATCATCATCTATACCTATGACTGATAAGCAACCAACTACTGTTGCAGGTGGAATAAGTATGGCTGTTAAACCAATGTTCAAACCCTTTATGGGTTTTTCCAGGCGCTTGGATTCTGCTTGACAGGCATTTGGTTGCTCTGTTTGACAGACACAAATATAAATCGTTCTGTTTATGTTAATGTGATATATACAGTACAAATTATTTGCATTTTGTTGCTTAATTTTGCTTATCATTTTTTTTCCCTTGTGCAGTATATTGTTGCAATAAATAGCTTAATCAGAGCCAGCAAGAGCTGTAAGAAAACCCCCAATGAATTATTGGACAATCAGATTCAACACTTACACCACAATTGTAGAAAAATACCTCACAGCCAAAGTGTAAACTTCCATTTAAGCCCTGAGATAGCATACCATCTGAAAGGAAAAATATAGATTCGGATATTGGATAGAAAAGAGAGAAAAAAGGGAACAAACTAGATGAAAAAAAAGAGGGATTAGAACTTTAATCTTAATCTTACCTAAGATCAAGCAAAGGAATACAAACTGGTAAGTCTAGATGGCTGCCAGGCACACCATGCGATTGTTCAAACTGAAACCCAACAGCACCCAAGCAGCAAGCAGTCAGTGAATTGAAGCACTCTAGACATGCATATCAAAAGAACATTGACAACTCTTCTACTTAGTAAGATGTAGACGACTATAGAATTCAGTGAAGTCAAGCTGGAAGAGGCGGAATTTTAAATCAATGTGTTGTTGGACTGGTAATTGAGATAAGAAACCCTCAAGCAATGATTTATACTCCTTAGCTATTGCATCCAGATCTTGTCCCATACTTTGAAGGAACTTGCCAGCATATTGCGTTAGGGCCTTCCTACTATCACTAAGCCAAGACCCAGGCCTTGAAGACCTATCACTTGTTTGTGTTGAAGATTAATGAAACAGTGCAACAAGTTACTGTTCACATGCACTGTTCATGTTGTGTTCAAGTTCAATTAAGTTGCTGAGAAGTTTCTTTGTTGATTTTCCAACGTAATCTCTATTTATTTTTGATGTTAAGTGTTCACTTGAAAATATAGGTTGACATTAATGGTATGCAGCACCATGGCCTTGCTTTATGGGGAATATATTATTATTTAATTGTAGGTGAACATTGTAATATACTGGCAGTATTCTATACAAAAGAATATTCCAAAAACTAATGTAATATGTATGGAAAATCAACGAGAAAAAATTTGAGCATTATCTCCAGCTCAATTTATATCATTTCCTTCATCTTTCACGTGTTTCTCAAGATTTTTTTCTTGAGTTTTATGTTGGTTCGAATCAATTTTCTTAATAGATCCTACAAATGGTATCAGAGCCCACTTCTTGAGGGATCTGTGAGTGTAGTGAGAGAGTGTAAATACGAGTTGTGGCGAGGGAGAGAAGTTTGTGACTCAGCAAACACAACAATGTCCTGAAATAATTTTGGTTCACTTTCAAATCCACCTTTGTTCACAAGGGAAAATTACAGCATGTGGTCAGTGAAGATGAAGGTTTTCTTGAAAGGAAATGGTGTCTAGGATTTAGTAGAGAATGGCTTTCATCCTCCTCATCTTCCTAACAATCCTACTATCGCTCCATTGAAGAATCATTCAAAGTACGTAGAAAAGGCTTACCAGACACTCTCACACATCCACAGTGGTGTTGTAGATTCACTTTTTCCAAGGATCATGGGTGCAGAAACAACAAAGGAAGCATGGGATACTTTGAAAATTAAGTTTCAAGGTGATCTAAGAGTGAAAGGTAACAATGTTATCACACTCAAGACACAAGTTGAGATGCTGAGAATGTCAGAAGATGAAACCGTTCACCAATATTGAACCAAGCTACAAGACTTGGTGAACCAAATCAAGGAAAATGGTGGTGAGTTTCCAGACAAGAGGGTCGTTGAGAAGATCATGGTGAGTGTTCCAAACAAGTTCGAGTCCAAGATTTTAGCCATTGAAGAAACTTGTGACTTGGATACAATGACTATTAATGAGCTCATCAACAAGTTGAAAGCTCATGAACAAAGATTGACTCTAAAAAGTCAAGTTGTTGCAACTGAAGTTGCGTTCCAAGCAAGACAAAAAAGAAAGCATGTAGCAACAAGTTCAAATTCTAAGTCCTCCTATGATAGCCTTGACAAAGGGAATTTGGTTGAAACACAAACTCAACCAGTTCAGCAAACCAGAAAGGACAGTTTTCCACCATGCTTGTATTGTAAAAGAATTAATCATGAGGCAAAAAATTGTTAGTATAAGGGGAAGCAACAAGTGTAGTGCCATGCATATAAAAAGTTTGGTCACAAAGAGAAGTCTTGCAAGGCAAAGAAGGGCTAGTACAACCAGAACAATCATAGCAGGTAAACTACTCAGATGATCAACAAGGTGAAGATCACTTGTTCTTGGCTGTTCAAGGGAGTTCTACCTCCTCAAAAGATTTTTGGTATGTGGATAATGGCTGTATTAGTCACATGGCGAAAAATGAAGATTACTTCATAGAGATTGACAAGTCCGTGAAGACAAGAGTCAAGTTAGGCAATGGTTCAATGGTGCAGACACAGGGGAAGGGAACAATTGCTGTACAAAATCCTTCAGGTACCAAACTAATTTCAGATGTTCTTTACATTCCTTCCTTGAGTCAAAATTTATTGTTAGTACCTCAAATGATGAAAAAAGGCTATAGTCCGTAATTCAAACATGATACCTGCACTATATATGACTCTACTTTTTCTGAAGTCATTAAAGTCCAGATGTTTAACAATAGTTTTCATGTGAATTGGAATTTAATTCAGTCTTGCTCATATATTATTAAATGTGATGATACATGGTTATGGCACAAGAGATATGGTGATTTCAATATGAAATCTCTCAAATTCTTACAAACATATGATTTGGTTAGAGATTTGCCCAACATCAATTTGAGTGATGATGTGTGTGTAGCCTGTTAACTTGGAAAGTTGCATAGACAAGCTTTTCCAATTAATCAAGCATGGAGAGCCACTGAAAAGCTTGAACTCATTCATACCAACATTTGTGGACCTATGAAAATAGAGTCACTCAGCAACAACAAGTATTTTATTTTATTTTATTGATGATTTTACGAGGATGACCTAGGTGTATTTTATGAGTAGTAAAAATCAGATTTTCTCAGTGTTCAAGAAGTTCAAACCTTAGTTGAAAACAAGAGTGGCTGCAAAATCAAGACCTTGAGGTTTGATAATGGCAAGAAGTACACCTCTTCTGAATTTAACAAATTTTGTGAAGATGCTGGCATTGGGCACCAACTAACAATTTCTCATTCACCTCAGCAAAATAGTGTCTCAAAGAGGAAGAATAAGATTGTAATGGAAATGGCTAGGTGCATGTTGCATGAAAAAAGGTTACCTATATCATTTTGGGCTGAGGTTGTTTATATAACTATTTATTTACTGAATTCTCTTCCTACAAAGGCTGTGAAAGGAAAAACTCCGGTAGAAGCATGGTATGGCATCAAACCTTCAGCCAACCATCTTAAAGTGTTTGGTTTAGTGTGTTATAGTCATGTTCTAGATGTAAAAAGAACAAAGTTGGACCAAAAAGCAAATGTTGGCATCTTTGTGGGCTATGCAACTTAGTCCAAAGGTTATAGGGTGTATGATGTGCACTCTAAGAAAGTGAATGTTTATAGGGACATTAAAATTGATAAAGATGCCTACTGGAATTTTGAGTAGCAAAAAATTGAAAAACATGGTTCTATCTTGAAGAAGGATGATGTTGATGGAACCAAAACTGCTAATTCAAATTTAAATGGGAGAATTGCTGATACGGATGATGATTATCCTATCTTGAAAACAAAGTCCTTAAAGGAAATTTATGAGCAATGCAGTTTTACAGTAGATGAGCCATCTAATTATGCAGAAGCATCCAAGCATGAAGATTGGAGAAATGCAATGTAGGAAGAGCTTACTGCAATCGAAAAAAATGGTACCTGGTCACTTACTCCTAGGCCAAAAGACAAAAATGTTATAGGAGTTAAGTGGGTGTATAGATCAAAGTTAAATGTTGATGGTTCTTTGAACAAATACAAGGCTAGGCTTGTGGTTAAAGGGTATGCACAGCAACTTGGAGTTGATTTTGGAGAAACATTTTCTCCAGTAGCTAGGCATGATACTATAAGGCTTCTCTTGGCCTTAGCTGCTCAAAAGAAATGGAAGGTTTATCATTTAAATGTCAAATCTGCCTTTTTAAATGGAATTCTAGAAGAGGAGTTATATGTCGAACAACAAGAAGGTTTTCTGGTTCAAGGCTGGGAAGATCATGTTTACAAGCTACATAAAGCTCTTTATGGCCTGAAACAAGCCCCTCGAGCTTGATATAGCAGGATTGATTCCTACTTGATAGAACAAGGATTTCAAAGAAGTGAAACTGAATTCACTGTTTATGCTAAAAGTGGAAATCCAAATTCTTAGTTGCTAGTCTCTCTCTATGTTGATGATCTTTTAGTGATTGAAGGAGACACTGAACTCCTTCAAAAATTCAAGGCTTTCATGCAAAATGAATTTGAAATGATAGATTTGGGAGAGATGAAATATTTTATGGGAATGGAAGTGATGCAATGCAGCAATGAAATCTTTGTCGCACAAGAGAAATATGCCAAGGACATTCTTAGGAAGTTCAGAATGGATAAATGCAAGCCAATTGCCACTCCTCTTGCACAGAATCTAAAATTGTCTAAGGATGATGACAGCTTGAAGTGTAATGCTTCATTTTACAAAAGTTTGATTGGGAGTTTACTCTATCCTACAACAACAAGGCCTGATCTTATGTTTACTGCCAATCTGTTATCAAGGTACATGACTTCTGCATCTCAAACTCATTTCAGTGTTGCTAAAAGAGTTTTGAGATATGTAAATGGAACTGTTAATTATGAAATTATGTATAAGTCTACAAGTGATGGTTCTTTGCAAGGCTATGTGGATAGTGACTGGGCAGGATGTCCTGATGACTCAAAGAGCACTAGAGGATATGCTTTTTCATTTGGTTCAAGGATGTTTTGCTAGAATTCATCCAAGCAGGAACCTGTAGCACAGTCTACAGCAAAAGCAGAATATATTGCTGTTGGAGTTGCCTTTAATCATGCTATATGGTTAAGGAAAATATTGAATGACATGAGACAACCTCTAAGTTCTACCATGTGTGATCCAAATTGACAGCAAATCAACCATTGCAATTGCTAAAAATCCAGTACAACATGGAAGAACAAAGCATATTCATGTGAAATATCATGTGATCAGGCAATATGTTAAAGAGAAAGAAATTAAGCTTCTGCACTATGATTCTAAAGTTCAAGCTGCTAATATTCTCACTAAATCCTTGCCAAAATCTAGATTTGAAACTCTAAGGTCTATGCTTGGGTTAACAAAGAAACCTCTCAAGGAGGAGTGTTGAAGATTAAGGAAATAGTGCAACTAGGTACTGTTCATATGCACTGTTCATGTTTTGTTCAAGTTCAATTAAGTTGCTGAGAAGTTTCTTTGTTGATTTTCCAATGTAATCTCTATCTATTTTTTATGTTAAGCATTCACCTAAAAATGTAGGCTGGCATTCATGGTATGCAGCACCATGGCCTTGCTTTATAAGGATTATATTATTATTTAATTGTAGGTGAACATTGTAATGTGCTGACAGTATTCTGTATAAAGAATATATAAAAAACTGATGTAATATGTATGAAAAATCAGTGAGAAAAAAATCTGAGCATTATCTCTAGCTCAATTTATATCATTTCCTTCATCTTTCACATGTTTCTCAAGATTTTTTTCTTGAGTTTTATGTTGGTTTGAATCAGTTTTCTTAACTGATCCTACAATTTGCTTCCTTGATTTGCTCTTGTCACGGGAAGGTAAAGAGGATCCGGCAGTTCTTCATAAAACGAAAAGCAAGTGTGAGCAAACACATCAATTAGGCAGAACAACTGACAAGATATATAAATGAAAAAGAAAAAAGAAAGGTGATGTAGTACATACCTTGCTTGCAACTCATGGATTCCTTCATATAACCGATCTGCATGACTCCTAAATTGCAAGATAAGGTCAAATAGAACAAAGAGTGACTCATAAAGGTTTTGTGATCGCTCACCAAGGAGAGATTTTTCCACAATTGAATGGAGGTACTCATAATGTGCCACAAGCAGATCATCGAGATCTTTGGCCATTTCCACTTCATTGGAAAAATCCAACCAGGATACCTCCAATACTTCAAACATGATATAATATTGCAAATTTGTAACAAAACGATTCATTTCATTCCAAAGGACCTGGCATCGCCTTAGTGTTGAAAGCAACTGCAATTTTACTGCATCTTGCAACTTATTGAACGTATGAGAAGTGATACAATTGGGTTTCATTGTCTTCCGAGCACCAATTAGTGCATGCTCTACCCGTCTAAGCTTCCAAAGAAAATTAAAAATTCTTAAATACTTGGTCATGACTGATTCAGTAAGCACCATATCCAATGGAATCCTTGCATCATATTCCAAAGAGAATACATCACATCCCTGATTTCCAGAGTTATGTGGCATCATCTTAACCCTCAATCGGTCTAATATGTCAGGATCATCATACTGAGCATTAGATGATCGAACTGCACTTTCCAATAACGCTGCTAGTTTGAATGAGCTAATGGTATTAGCAGGTTCAGAAAGTTGTGGCCCAACAATATCCATTAAATACTGCACAAAATCACCTTGCCCTAACAGCAAATAATGCTTGATTGCAAGACAGTGTTCTTTAAACTTATACCTCTTGTACATAACATCCAATAAATGCTTATCAATTCTCTTAGCCGCTTCAACAACCGGAGCCACAAGAGCATCACTTTCTCCATATCTGAGGCCCCCTGTTCCAGCCATGGTTCCCGCAGCTGCTGCAGCCTCTGTAGCAGCATCTGCCCAGCCCCAGTCATCACAACAAACCCAAAGAAAATTAATTGACTTGCTAGTCCTCAGAATACGGTGAGCAAGAGGCTGTGAAATAAAAGAAGGAAGCATTCCTACACGGACAAGAGGGTCACCATGCTGGGCTTGCAAATGAATAGCTTCAGCCATTGCTCCACCCCTCAAAACCCTACATTTATCAACCAATACAGCCATTAACCTCATTTTCACCATTGGCTCTGAAAACCAAACCGACAACCTCCTCAATGACAAATAGTTGCCTGAGCTTGCATTTTCTGAAACCAATGGAATTGGATTCATAGCCTGGGCTTCGAGGACGGCCAACAGTTTATAATACTCATGTAACTCATCATGCAGTGCTGCACAAAATGCCTGGCCAACAGTTCCTACATCCTCAGCTGGAAACTGTTCCATACTCTCTGAAATATATCCTCTGACATTCCTAATTCGCAGAGCTTCCTTACCATAAGTCTGGTCGCTCTTGGTGTCTCAATTAAACCTGACAAAACATATCCATCAACTTTACTGTCAAATTTCACATGCTTCCCATCAATCCCTTGACAAGCATACAACACATCTCTCGCCAAAACCTTCTCAGAAACCTCATTCTCCTCTTTCACCACATTCACCAGCTCCTTGAAAGCAACGTCACGCAAATTTTCCGGCTCTTTCGCCACCAACAAAACTCCATTACTCCAACCCTTTTCTCTACTCTCTCTCCCACGTAAAACCCTCAAACCATTCTCCCTTTCAGCTCCATTTAACGAGCAATTGGGCGCACTCTTCTATCCTCGGATGTAATTTTTAGCAAATGCAGAACTGCCCACTTGTTATTAGCACTACTCGGACCCGTTTTCGACGCAAACTTCGTGAAGAGATCGGAAAAGGTGAGGGCATCTGTAGACTTACCTTTAGTGGCGAGACGGCGCTTGATGGACTCAGCAATGGCAGCGGCATCGGGGGCAATTGAGGGTGTCAAGCAGCTGAAGAGAATGCGGAAAGCGTAGCGAAGAGATTGCTGGAAATGAGGGGAACGAAGGTTGGGAACGGAGTAAGGGGTGTGGGAGTTTTATGGGTTCTGGGAGAGTAGGCGGCGGACCAATTCTATGACTAGATCTGTGACCTTGTGTTGATCTTCTTCTTCCATTTGTAGAAAGAAAATTAGAGGTTTTAAGAGACTGCGAAGGGGTTTTGATTTTATAAATTTTTATAAAAACGAGGGCGGGCTTTTTCATATTTTTCTTCTTTTCTTTCCCTTCCTTTTGCTTTTTAAAATTTTTTCTGCTAAGCATTTTTTTTAAATTTTTTTATTTTGTAATTTTAATTATATTAAATATTAAATAAAAAATCTTTGAATTAAGGAAAATTCCCACTAATATTAAAGAGCCAACTCTATTATTTAAATTGACTAAAGTACATAATACTTTTTTTAAAATGCTAGTCTTACTCTATATATTTGGTATTTTTTCTATTTAAGTCCTTTGAGTCTATAATTCTTAGATTTTTCCAAGTTAATTTCTATTGTTAGATGGCAAAAAAAAAAAAATATTGATTGAATGATTAATTACTAGATAAAATTAGATTAGTAACAAAAAATGTTAGTTTAGACAAAGTACAATTCATATACTAAAATTATTAACGTAATACTCTCAATGAAATTTTTTATTAGTGATAGTATATCATCTTTCAAACTGAAAAATATGAATCTCTATTCAAACATGAAATTTTTTAGAGGAAGCTATTGAGACAAAAGAACTCAAAGGAAACCTGGAAATGCTATCTGAAGAATTGGTTTCCATTACTTGTGTTTTGAAGGAGATGAAATTTGGAGAAGATGTAATAGCCATGACCCATGAGAGATTAAACATTTCAGCCGTGAGCACAAATTAATACTTGATAATGAGATTAAGCATGATAGGTGCTGTGATGGTTGTATGCGATCCATCTCAGTTGCATTTTACTATTGTGCTGAATGTGGTTACAAAACCTAATAAGATCTTCAGTATTATGATATTTTTATTTTATTAAGAGGAGGAAGTAGATCATTTACCGATAATGATAATGGATGAAAAATTCTATGCATGTTGTTCATTTACCCTTCATTCAACTCAGACAGTATAACAGCTGAAATCTCAAATGTTTCATATGGTGATTCTACAAAATTATGGTTCACATTGGAAAAGAAAATCGAAGAAGGATTTGGCATGTTTTTCCATCTCCAACTTCCATGCCCCTGCACAAATTAATGTTTCTTTTTTATTTTTTAATTTGTGCTTTTAAAACATAAATTAAAAATATAATAAATATACGATTAAATGTAAAAATTCCTTTTAAAATTCTAATGTTGAAATAAATTATCACAAAAAATGTTAGGATAAAGATATGTGCATACTCGGGTGTGCACACTCCCCCATTGAAAAAAAAAAAAACCCCAACCCCACCCGGTCCTTTTTTTTTTTTTCTATGTGGGGGTGCACACCGGGTGTGCACCAATCAGCATCCAAAATGTTAACATAATTTACTACTTTAAATTTTTATTTTCAATAAATTAATTTAAATTTATCAGTTTCTGTTAAATTTTGTTAAATAAGTACTCATGAAATTTAATGAAAAGTTAACAATAATCGCTAAAGGAAAACTAACAAAATCAATTGGTCCACCCAATGCATTCATTGTTCAAACAAATGCAACTCGATCAGATGTTTCTGAGGTAGTTGTTATTTTTGTTCTCTTCTCAATTCTTCCCATGGAATCAAAGGCAAATGCAATTTTGCTTATGTGTAGAGGATATGGAATCTCTCATCTAATGGTGGGAATGGACTCGTTCATAGCAGTGCAAACTCATGGTAAGAGCAAGGAAATAGATTTTTTTTTTGTTTTTTAATTTCTTTTTAATATATTAAATAAAGAAATATAGAATAGTGAATATTACTCTTCACTTATTTAATATATTAAATAAAGAGATATAGAATAGAGGATATTACTCTTCATTTATTTTACAATTCGAATTTGAAATATCCAATATAAAGAGTTAACCTTTTAACCGGTTGGAGATTTTTAAGAGACAAGGAACTACATAATAATACAGCTATGTTGCTCATGGATATTCACAAAGTCTGGCATAACTTTTTCAGTTCTTAGCTTATGTTTGGGATTATTGTAAAATATTGTGGTTGTGAGTTTTTTAGTATTTTATTATGAGAAAAATTATGTTATTATTTAATAATTATTTTAAAAAATATCTTATATATTAATATGACTAAAATTATATAAAACATCCATTAAAATTAATTTAACTATTATAAATTAACACTTTTAGGAAAAAAAAAAAGCTATACAACAACAACCTCAAACCCAACCTTTTGGTTTTTCTTTCAATTCGTTTAAATTCAGGTGTAAACTAAGAAAAAAAAAAAAACCATGTCCATGGGCACAAGATAAAAGGAATAATTGGCGAATAATTACCATATTATATATATATATATTTGATGTTTGCCATATTTTATATTTAAAAAAGTGAAATTTGACTTTAATTTAAATTATAAATACCACATATCTGTTTTTCATTGGCTTATTATAAATTACAGTTAAAACTTATTAAATTAATTGAAAAACAAGTCAACTTTTACATTTTTAAAAGATGAAATAGTAATCATTGGTCATATTCTATATGCTCAATAATATAATTAAAATGGCATATGTACAATTGTAAGTTTTACAATTATAACGTCTTAGTAAGTAAGTAAATGTATTTAATATTTATTTACATCATAAATTATAAAAATTTAGGATCTTGCCACATGTAAAAAATTTTAAAGGAATGGAGAAGATTTTGTCATGTCAAATATGCAATTTTGAGTCTCATGACAGATCAGTTTCCACATTGGAAGAAAGGAGGTAAAAAGATAAGACTTTATATTTTAATTACCTTTTTTGAGTCAAATTAGGTCTGTTTTAATTGAAATTTAGGAGGGGGTTTTAGTTATGGGTATGGGTTATCAAATAAAAGTACAAGTGATGAAATCTAAAAGAAAGTTTAACTCTGTCAACTGCTGAGGTGCCCAATTACATCAAGAAATTGCCCATGATTTTTGAAACTCCAAAGAGTGGAAAGTTGCAGTTGGAAAAAGGGAAACAAAAGGGAAATTTTGGATCATAGAACAAACGGCAAGCCCTTACACACAACTTGCAAATTTTTAGATTTTTAATTTCTCTGCAATTGCTCACTTTTGTTTAGAGATTTCGAATTTCAGCACAATTCCTAGTAGATTTAGGTTGTTTTTCATTATTCCAGTAGTTGAATTAGTTCATGTATTCGTTTCAACAATTTCGTTTCATGTAATGAACTTCAAGCTTTTGAATTTCTTCAAGTACTGTCCATTTTCTGATTGTAATTAGTTTAACGTTTATGATAAGTAGCATTTCTTCAAATGATTATTTATATGGCATTCACGCTTTTTCTCAATTTCGAGCATGTTAGTTTAATTCATGTTCATATTTGTTTTATATTTAATTAGGGTTAAATCTCTAATTATGCAGTAATTTAATTTCCAGATTTGTCAACAAATAGCTTTTTAATTTGACAATGAACATATTTAATTTAATTTGGATACATTTTGTTCTCGCAAATTTACTTTAAATTGCATGCTATTTAGTTTAATTAAGATTTGTTAACTTTGATTCACGATAGTCTTTTAGTCGTTAGAGTTTTTCAATACAAATTTAGTAACCCATTCTATAGAAAGACATCCCTCCTTATTGTAAATCGTCTGTAGGTACAGATTTTAATTTTAAACCAATGTTCTTTTGGCTATCTGTAAGGAGGTCAACCATGAAGAAGAAAAGAGTCATTGAAAAAATCTTTTTTTCTTACTTTTAGTAAAGTAAATAGCATGGTTGCATCCAGATTCCGCACGTACAAAACTATTAAAGATTTTTGAGAAAACAATATTATAAATAAATTTTTAAATAAAAAATTAATCATTTAATAATATATTATAATTATAAAATTACGTTAATAATATTATTATATCATTATTTTGACCCTGACCCTGAAAACTGGTTGAAGGAAATAGAAGTAGGGGTGCAGAGACTATCATTTCAAGTTCAACCAATTGACCACTCTTGAGAAAGTTTCAAGAAAGTAAGTGTCAAGAAAGCAATACTTTAGATTTTATACCCAAATCTTCCTCCATTCTCAAAATTCCCGTTATTAAAAAAAAAGTTTTCAATCAATTTAATTAAGTCATTGCATCAATAAAATAATTTAATTAATTATAATAATTTTTCCTCAACTACCCTCTTCTCAAATTAGAGCACAAAAACCAA